CCTGTTGCGTACTCCCTTGTATACAGAAGTACTTACAGAAAGCAGTAGATAAGACTATAGTTGACGTGACTCCTACTTTCCTACATCAGGACGTCACAGACCTCGAAGATGACACTCCACATACACCCCTTCAAGCACATCAGTTCAAACAGACAACTGCTTTCCTGTAGGGATAGTATAGGGAAAGCATCTGTCTTGGCAGGCGAGTCTCACGTGTGGAGATGTAGTGGATTAGCCGCTGCGGGTTACCCACGGAGTGAAGTGTTCGATGCTTGCTAAGATGGATGAATTATAGGTAATTAGAAGCATATCATTAGGGATATATTAGGGACAGTAGCAGTTGTTATGGTAAATAGCCATTTTAGGGGGGACTGTTGTGGAAATAAGGTCTACACATATTTCCTAGTTAAGAGAAAATGTCTATTTATTCATTTCACAATATGTTATAGAGTTAAGCACACATGTTTAATCAAAATGGCTGCTAGAAGCTTCTAGCCCCTCCACCCTCTTCCCCCCTCCCTCCCTTCATAACACCAACTAACTACCTCGTGCAACAAGATGGCGCCGGGAAACCGTGGGAGACCCTCATGGCCCCGGTGACATCACCTATAGTAGGCAGAGCATTAGAGCAACCACTTAACACCTAACCAATTATTGATGTATTATTCCATGTTATCTCTGACAATGCTCATGATGTAATTCTGCTTTAAAAGGGACCTGCCGTCCCCCCTGAATAAACTTTCCTCAAGTTATTCAACAACCTGGAACCTGTGTCTGGTGTGAATTACTTCAGGGAGCGTGCACGCATTGTTTCATTGATTTGGCCAGGGGCAGATACACAAAGAAATAATCAATACTTTGATTGATTTTTCCCATTTCAATTAGCATATTAAAAAAGGTTTTAAGGTGGCAACCATCATGGTGTACATTTGCTGGCAGTGTGTAGACTTGTTGTCACTCCCCAGTACTATAGATGCTCTGACATTTCCCTTAGTAGGCATGTCACCTCCCACCATCTTATAAAAGTATTCTTTCACTCAGTTCCCTGCTCAGGTATTAGTTGAGTTTTTCATGTGTCCATGAAACACCAAAGCACGAAGCAATACCACCTGGCAGTACTGTGAATATTTTGGTCCTTTTTCCAGAATTTTCCTATTTTCTTATATTTTGGTGCAACCTGTACTAGTTACATTATATTTTGCTCCTTTATCCTTCATGGAATTGAGAGTATCCCTTTTTATCAGTGTTTGCTGTCTATATTTATCTTGTTAGTTGGATTATTAGCGCTTGTACTATTTTTTAATATATTACGTGTGTGTAAACCTGTGTGACACAGACAACGCTCATTCAGTGATTTCCTGTGTGCTGATTGCTTGCTCTTGACTGTAATCTGTGCCACCAGCACTGACTTTTTGCCTTCCTGATCTTGTTTTTTTGCATTACCCAACCTGCTTTGATGCTTTTGGGATAAACAAGACTTTCTGTTGTGACAATGTACCCTTTTTCAGTGTCCCACCTCCTTAGCCCATTCACCCCAAAACTTGACAGGTTCATCTGCTTACCTTAATGCCATGGAGCAGTCTTATTTGTGGTTGCTGAAAGATATAAAATATATTTACATAGGATCCTAGACAGACAGGCACTGCCCTCTTAAACAGGCATCTATAAAATAATATATTAGTCTACCAAGCAGTACATTTTAAATATTCCACATCAGAATTCTTGGATTACCTGCAATGGATTTACTTGCCCTCCTCTTGGAGTAATGGAGTCACAACTGGTTTTTGCAGGTACCAGCTCTTAATTATTGTCCACAGTTCTTTGCTGTGGAAAGAAAACCTTTATTGGTGCTTCTGTAGTAACCCTTGGGACTCTTTGTAACAGGGGATTAGCTCTAAGGAGGAGCATCAATTCTAACCATAGTGTTAGCGTGCACTAAATAAGGTAGTCTGTTAAACCGGGTTGATTGTGTCTACGCTGCCAAGCACTATTTGTATAAATGTGAGGATGGCTAGTAATTCGACTGATAGCTGTATAGAACATATAGTGGTTTAATACCTGAAGATAATAGAATTCCATGTGATATGTATTCATCATGATGTAACAGTGTGTGAATGTGATCCTGACACATCACTGGTTAAAAAACTGGCCCTGAGTGAGGTTTGGATTACAGTGTATTAGGTGTCTAGGTAATACGAGATTGTCTACGTCCTTTCAGATTTGTTCTCATTTAATTCTTTTGTACAGTGGACAGGAATCGAACATGTTTTCACAGGTTTACAGTAATTATAACGTCTCATGTAGCAGTATCTAGAATGATGGTTGTAATAATAATCATTTAAAAAATCAATAATTTTGAAAACATTGACATAAGGAAACACTAATATCAATTTTAATAGATTGTGGGCATCTTTACAATTGATTGACAGGGAGATTTTAAGACCAATATTACAGAAGCACTTGTCTCAAATTCCAGGCACTAAAAGAAATTGGTCTAGATGAAAATTCTTGTTCTTGTGTAGAACAATGGCTTAAAGAAAGAGCACAGAGAGTTGTCATAAATGGTAAATTGTCATGCTGGACAAAAATGGTAAGTGGTGTGACTCAGGGTTCTGCTCTGGGGCCGCTTCTATTTAACATTTTTATAAATGATCTTGAAATAGGCAATGAAAGCCATGTTTCAGTGTTTGCAGATGCCACAAAACTTTGTAAAGTAATAAAATGTGAGCAAGATATAGCTTTGCTGCAGAGGGATATAGATAGATTGGGGGACTGGGCACTAAAATGGCAGATTAAATTGAATGTGAAAAAACGCAGTGTTATGCACTTTGGGGTTAAGTATGCACAAGCAACCTACACCCTAAATGGTAATGTAGGTTGCTTGTGATAACAACAAATGAGAAGGATTTGGTAATTAATATAGACAATAAACTAGGCAACAATATGCAATGTCAATTGGCAGTTGCCAAGGTCCGTAAGGTATTGTCATGTAAAAATAGGGGCATTAATTCTCGGGATGAAAATGTAATTTTGCCTCTTTGTAAATCACTGGTAAGAACACACCTTGAATATGCTGTGCAATTTGGGACACCTATTATGACACAAAAGGGCAGAGGCGGGCTACAAAGGTGATAAAAAGGTACTTTAGTTATGAAGAGAGGTTAACAAATTTAAATCTCTTTAGTTTGGAAAAACAGCTCTCAGAGGGGATATGATAGCATTATACAAATAGATTCGGACCAATGCAAATCATTGTCTGGAAATATATTCAAACTCAGACTGGAAGAAAGGAGATTTAATATAAGGCAAATTAAATGGGTTTTTTACAGTAAGAACAATGAGGATGTGGAATTCTCTGCCTGAAGAGGTGGTCTTATCAGTCTATACAGATGTTTAAACATCAGTTGGATAAATACTTGCAAAAACATAATATAAAAGGATATAATTTCTAATTAGTGGGGTAATAGCTTCTTGATCCAAGGAGATATCTGCCTGCCATTTTGGGGTCAAGAATGAATTTTTTCCTAGTTTGTTGCAGAATTGGAAGAGCTTCAGACTGAGTATTTTGCCTTCTTTTGGATCAACAGCAGAAATTAAATGTGAAAAAGCCATGTAACTATGCACTGTTCAAAGGACTTTCCATTTACCATGTCATTAAATATGACACTTTGAATTGGAAATTGACTTATAACTTTTTCTAGAAAATTGAGAAGTCTTTAAAAAAAAAAAAATCTGAGTCACTCAATTGTACTCACTTTGAACAGAGTGGTCATTCAGGAGATTACATACAATTAAGACTCATAACAAGACCACCTTTCATCACCCACCAAGCTCTCAGGTGGAGACATTTTTAAAACTGGTGATGAGTGATTTGGAATCACTGCCTTTTACCCACCATGGCAACTTTCGCAGAGACAATACTGAGCAGATAGGTTTGGTTCGGGACCTCGGCCATTCAGGACCTTGGCCATTCGGGACTTCGGCAGTTCGGCACTTCGGTTCGGTTTGGCACTTTCGGAATTCGGGACTTCGGCACATCGGTTCGGGACTTTGGCACTTACCTAACCATACTCTAACCCCTAACCCAACCCCAACAGGTAGGGCTTGGGGATACGGGTAGGATTAGGGGTTGGGGTTGGGGGTACGGTTAGATTCCTGTCATCATTACCTTAATTTTCCCTTCCTCTCTTGTTTTGCCACTTTTCAGAAATCCAAAGCACTTCGGCACTTCTGAAATTCTGCACTTCTGCACTTCGGTTCGGTTCATCACTTCCGAAATTTGGCAATTCTGCACTTCGGCAATTTGGTTCAGCACTTACAAAATTTGTCACTTCGGCAATTCGTCACTTCAGACATTCGGAAGCATCCGAATGTCCAATTTGCCGAAATTCGTCCGAATTTAAATTCGGATCAAAACGAATTGCACATGTCCAGAAGCTATCAAAGGACTACAATCAAACCCAAATGTCTTTATTAAACCTGAGGATAAAGGGAATGCGTTTGTAGTTATAGAGAAGGAGTAGTCTTGATGCAATTACAGGAGTGCTACCTATGAATCATATTCACACAATCCCTTCAATGACCTCTCATGGTACATTGAGAAAACATCCATAGATGGTCTGATTGACGGTGAGCTTGGGAAATTACTTATCATTCCTAAAATACACAAAAACCTAAGGAACCCACTTGGGAGGCCTATAGTGGCAGGACCTGAAGCCATTATATTGCTTGTGATAGTACTTAAAAGAATCTTCCAAGCTCTTGTTAAAATGCTCCAAATTATTTATCCTTGACATCAGTGATGTCCTGTGCAGATTAGCAGGAGTCCATATTTGGAACTCATTTTAAAATATTTACTTGGGGACATTATGCAGTACTTGGGAAGTACATGACTTATTAGAGGCTAACAATCCATGCAAGGAGGCTCTCAATTTCTGCTTGAAACTGCTCATACTTATTCTGTATAGGAACTACTTTCTATTCAACAATGATATGTACAGACAAATCAGAGAAAGTGCGATGGGATCGAATATGGCCAAAACATGAATACATGTGAGGGGCTATTCATCTACCCACATCCATCAATTAAATCCAATGTAAAAATCTGGTGGCATTTCATTAAAAATATTTTTGGCGCACAGAATGGCTCTGTTGATATCTTGGAATCATTCCACCAAGACCTGAATGTGTGTAACCCCAACATCAAGTTCACCATGAATCCCAAGAGCCAAGAGGTCAATTTTCTAGATCTGGTGATATAGAAAGATAGTGACAAAATGGGATCTGATATTTACTCCAAGCCAACAGACTGTAGCAGCTTACTGCACAACACCAGCTTCCACCCTGACAAACTCTACATTTACTTTAGCAAAGCTAATTCATGTGGGTGAAACAAAATGTTTCTAACAGAAATAACTGCACGATTTCAACAGATACCCCATTGATTTCCTACATGAGGAGGAAAAGAAGGTTCTCTAACTGAATGGACAAGACACATGACAAACAAGCCCACTACAGTTGACAAGAAGGCGAGAATCCCATTTATTACAACATACAGTTCTATCAGTAACAGTGTTAACCATGTTTTACGCAACACTGGGAGGTCAAAAGGGATACTTATCCATTCCAGAATAAGTACCACTGATGTGAGTTAAAGGTGCAACAATAACATATGGGACACTCTGGCAAAAAACAGATAGTGGATCCTTCAAGAAGACACAAACGTTTTAGTCCACACCAAAGTGTGGCACCTTTCCTTGCCTTCACTGCGGATCCTGTAATAATGGTATTAAAAGGGGCAACTTCAGCCTCAACTGGACAGAAATATAAAATCAATAACTACTTCATATGGGACTCTAGTTGTGTTGTGTACCTCCTCAAATGTCTTTTGGGCTGATTTAAATCAGCGAGACAACAATGAAAATGAATGACATATTAGCTACCTGTTATTACTAGTGCTACCCTAAGTGTTAGGTGGTAAAAAAGAAAAGGATGAAATGTCTCTCGTCGGGGTTTCCAATTTTATTCATGGTGAAAAAGTTGAATACATTATACCAACCACCAATAGTCGACACTGTCTTTTGTTGTAATAAAGTGTCCCCTTTTACGTGTGAGTTAAGACCTCCCCATAATCACTATATAATAAATAAAGCTTTTTAAAAGGAGATACAGTTTTCAGTACAATTTCAGTTTATATTTTCTTAATAGCCTGTCACATTAGGAGGGATTGGAGTTTGTTATAATGGGGAATTTTGTGGGTGCTTTGCTTCCACCTTTCATATTTAATATTGAATTTACACTAGGCCTTCTGTTTCTGCAGATACAGAGTTAGACTTTTTCTACATACATTAATTTACTATTATCAAGGGTTATGCCATACACCAGTTCTAGTGCTGTCTGGATATAGGTAAACAAACTCTAGGTGGTTTCCCTAATTCAAAATGGCCAAAATGTATTTGTTGCTAGAGTTGATCATGCCCTTCACTGTGACTTTGCTGCCATCTAGTGGCTACAATTGAGTATTACATGTCAATGCTTATACAATTTGACAACCTAATTCAATGTATTGTATCCTGGTTACCCTGACAACCGGAGGGAGTCACAGGTAAAAGAGTAGTGCCTATTATTATTTTTTGCACCTATTTCACAAGCGTTTATACTGTTGATTGTTTATTTATCATTATGCATGTTTAAGGCCTTGTAGTGATTTTGTATGGTGGTTGTGTGTGTGTAACAAAAAAGAGAGTGGTGGTATCACCCCTGGTGGTCCAGCAGTGGTCTCCCCATTCCTGCTCCATACAAAACATCAATCAAGGCTCAGGCAGGGGGCTGGTTTGCTGAAAACAACTGGAATGGCTGGAGCAAGAGGCTGAACCAGGCAGTAATTGCCCCTCTGGACTCTTTCCCATAAATCCCCTGGTAAATTAGCTGAGCTGCATCCTGCTACCAACATGGAAAGCAACCCTGGGGAAAAATTTAAACCAGTCCAATAATGCATTGAATAGCATAGTGTGCATACATAAGAAAATACATAAGCACTGACACATTGTGCTAGACAATTAGATCAGAGAATTTCCAAGCCAGCTAGTCATGTGGGGTACTCCCGGTATGCAGTGGTTAGTACCTACCAAAATTGATGCAATGAAGGCAATCAGTTAACAGAAATAGACCATGGGGCAATGGAAGGCGGTTGCATGGCCTGATGAATCATGTTTTCTTTTAGATCAAGTGGATGGCCTGGTGTATATTCATAATGTATCTGGGTAAGAGATGGAAGCAGGATGCACTATGGGAAGAAGGAAGGCTGGCAGAGGCAATGTTATGCTCTGGTCAATGTTCTGTTTGGAAAACTTGTGTCCTGGCATTCATGTGGATGTTACTCTGACATGTACTTCCTGTCTAGAAAGTTTTTCATGCCAAGTACAGGAACATGACAAAGAGTTCAAGGTATTTCAAGGTGGGAATTACTAGAACAACAAGTTTGATCCATGGAGGCCCCACCTCGCAACTCGCAGGACTGATGCTGGTGTCTTAGTATCAGATACCACAGGACATGTTCTGATGTCTTGTGTGTTCCATACTTTGATGCATCAGAGTTGTTTTGGCAGCACAAAGGAGACTTTCACTATACTAGGCAGGTGGTTTTAATGCTGTGATTGATCAGTGTATTTGTACAGTGAGGGAAAAAAGTACTTGATCCACTGCTGATTTTAAATGTTTGCCCACTGACAAAAAAATTATCAGTCTATAATTTTAATGGTAGGTGTTTTTTAACAGTGAGAGACAGAATAACAAAAAAAATCCAGAAAAATGCATGTCAAAAAAGTTATAACTTAATTTGCATGTCAATGAAGAAAATAAGTATTTGATCTCCTATCAATCAGCAAGATTTATGGCTCCCAGGTGTCTTTTATACATGGTAACGAACTGAGATTAGGAGCACTCTCTTAAAGGGAGTGCTCCTAATCTCAGAAGCAATCAATCAGATTGCAAACTCTCCACCATGGCTTAGAGCTGTCCAAGGATTTCAGGGACAAGATTGTAGACCTACACAAGGCTGGCCAAGCAGCTTGGTGAGAAGGTGACAACAGTTGGTGCGACTATTCGCAAATGGAAGAAACACAAAATAAGTGTCAGTCTCCCTCGGTCTGGTGCTCCATGCAAGATCTCACCTCGTGGAGTTTCAATGATAATGAGAACGGTGAGGAATCAGCCCAGAACTACATGGGAGGATCTTGTTAATGATCTCAAGTCAGCTGAGACCATAGTCACCAAGAAAACGATTGGTAGCACACTATGCCATGAAGGACAGAAATCCTGCAGCGCCCACAAGGTCCCCCTGCTCAAGAAAGCACATGTACTGACTCGTCTGAAGTTTGCCTATGAACATCTGAATTCACCCAGTACTGGGTGAAAGTGTTGTGGTCAGATGAGACCAAAATCTAACTCTTTGGCATGAACTCAACTCGCCGTGTTTGGAGGAGAAGGAGGAATGTTGCCTATGACCCCAAGAACACCATCCCCACCATCAAACATGGAGGTGGAAACATTATGCTTTGGGGGTGTTTTTCTGCTTAGGGTACAGGACATCTGCTCCGCATCAAAGGGACGATGGACGGGGCCATGTACCGTCAAATCTTGGGTGAGAACCTCCTTCCCTCAGCCAGGGCATTGAAAATGGGTCGTGGGTGGGTATTCCAGCATGACAATGACCCAAAACACACAGCCAAGGCAACAAATGAGTGGCTCAAGAAGAAGCACATTAAGTTTCTGGAGTGGCCGAGCCAGTCTCCACACCTTAATCCCATAGAAAATCTGTGGAGGGAGCTGAAGGTTCGAGTTGCCTAATGTCAGCCTCAAACCTTAATGACTTGGAGAAGATCTGCAAAGAGGAGTGTGACAAAATCCCTCCGGAGATGTGCGCAAACCTGGTGGCCAACATGTCTGAGCTCTGTGATTTCCAACAAGGGTTTTGCCACCAAGTACTAAGTCGAGGGGTCAAATATGCATTCCACTCATTGACATGCAAATCAATTTATAACTTTTTTGATATGCGTTTTTCTGGATTTTTTTTCTTTTTTTTGTTATTCTGTCTCTCACTGTTAAAATACACCTACCATTAAAATTATAGACTGATTATTTCTTTGTCAGTGGGCAAATGTTCAAAATCAGCAGGTAATCAAAGTGGAACTATTTTTTGTAATGAAATGTTTTCATCCTTTTAAGCACATGTACTCTCACTGACCCAAACAGGCACTCATTTGTTCGTGCACTCTTTAAACAACACACACTCTTATTGACACACACACATATTCTCATACTCACTAACACACTCTACATTACTTAGTTAGGCCAACACAGTTTTTTTCTGGTGCACCCTTTGTCCTTGCCGAGCCGGGATATGTCACAGGTCCTAGCACTGAGTTGGTCTGTACTTGCAATCTTTGCATCACCAAATGTTGAACAACCTATATGCTCATTTGGTGGGTTTGCCCTCCAAATTTCAAATTACAATCACAATAGAAATCACTATGTTACTCCTTTGGAGGTGTTGCTTTGTCTATGAAGTAAATGATAACAAATCAACAGGGAGCTTCAAAGGAGTAAAACAGCTCATATTTTCTACATGCATGTGTGACTGCAGATTTATCCAATGAAATGAAGAAAAGACTCATTGACATAAAGTCATTTGCCAATTGCCAGAAGAACAGTACTACTACTACTATTTATGGCTTAACTCATTAAAGTCCTGCCTACTAGTGAGTTACAAATGCCAGACTTAAAGTAATGCTTAAATAATTTTTAAGAGATATGGTAACACTGCAAATATGTCTTTAGAATTATTGATATATTACTTGCCCACAAGGATGCAGTGTGTAGAATGGATGCAGTGTGTGTAGTGAATGCAGTGTGTTTATGCAGTGGATGCAGTGCGTGTGTATAGTGGATGCAGAGTGTGAAGTGGATGAAGTGGTGTGTGTGTGTAGTGCAGGGCCGGCTTTAGGGCTGTGCGAGCTGTGCGGACGCAAGGGGCACCATGGACCAGCCGGTGCCCTGACAGCCGACACAGCTCGCACATGGCTGGTGTCAGGGGAGGAAAAGCAGGTACCTGGGTGGAGGATTTCATTATTCTCCACCCAGGTCTATAAAAAAAAAATTGAGGTGGCAGGGCTTAATGGGTGACTGGGGCGAGGCTTGACGAGCAGCTTATACATACCCAAAGCCCCTGGTAATACATACCCGAAG